AACACAGTCGAGGCTTGAAAAGCAGCAATGTCTCTTTAAAACATAAAGGTTTTTTGTAGCACTATCCCTGCCAATGTGTCACCAGAAAACACTCACATTTGGTGCCTAAAAAACTAGTAAAAACACACTGACAGGTCTCTACAATATGCTCATGATTGGAGCATAAAAAGCCAATGGAAACACACTGACGGGTTGCTATAAAATCCCACAAATGGTGCCTAAAAGCTGATGGAAACACACTGACATGTCGCTACAAAACACCCATAACTGGAGCATAAAAAACTGATGGAAACACACTGACTGGTCTCTACAAAATCCCACAGTTAATTCCTAAAAAGCTGCAGGAAACACAACAGCAGGATGCTACAGATCATCCAGGATTGGTGCCTAATAGCTGATGGAAACACTCATACAGGTCGCTACAAAACTCCACAATTAAAGCCTAAAAAGCTGCTGGAATCACAACAGCATGTCGCTACTAAATGCCCACAGTTAGAGTCTCTAAAGCTGCTGAAAACACACTGACAGGTCGCTATAAAACACCAATGACTGGGGCCTAAAAGCTGATGGAAATACTCAGACAGGTTGCTACAAAACTCCACAATTAAAGCCTAAAAAGCTGCTGGAATCACAACAGCAGGTCGCTACTAAATGCTCACAATTAGAGTCTCTAAAGCTGCTGAAAACACACTGACAGGTCGCTATAAAACACCAATGATTGGGGCCTAAAAGCTGATGGAAATACTCAGACAGGTCGCTACAAAACTCCACAATTAGAGCCTAAAAAGCTGCTGGAAACACAACAGCAAGTCGCTACTAAATGCCCACAATTAGAGTCTCTAAAGCTGCTGAAAACACATTGATGGGTTGCTACAAAACACCAATGATTGGGGCCTAAAAGCTGATGGAAACACAGCAATGACTCGCTAAAACACAATCGGTTTTGTTGGTCTTGAAGTTGTCTGCAGCTTGGCAGCTGTCTCATATAGGTGTCCCTTCCACATCCCGATTGAAGTTTTTTCTGAATCGATTAATTTTTGTAAAGCGTCAGAAAAGAGTGAAAAATGTTTATTTCATTGAGCCCAAGGTGATATTTACATATTGCTAGTTATATCTAATGAATAGTCCAAAACTTTACTGTCATGCCCACTTTTTATTTCAGTTTTAGCTCCTGCATAAGGTCCACAGGGGATAATGAACATAACACTGGGGAGCAGCCACAGTCTACAGTCTGTTCCCTGTACACATTATGGAAAACCACACAAGAGTGGGTCTCCAGTGCACCCAGGTTGCCCAGAAAAACCCCTTAGAACAACTCACTAATTGAGTTGACAGTGATGCATTAAAATGGGTCATCCTGGAATTGCTCTTTCCTGTGGCTACTGGCTGGGCTGGGATTACATAACGATGATAAAGCTGCGGACCTGGCCTTCTAAGATAAAAGCTGCCATGCAGGACCCCGTGCATTCTCTAAATGCTTCATCTAAGAGGCCTTCTGAAGGAAGTGATTACTGCAGAGCTGCCCACTAATGCTCCAGCGGGACCCGACGGTGTACTCTGTTATTCATCAAACACAGACAGTGTAAGCCTTGGCAACTTTGGAAATGCATGAATAATGAGTGGGTATGTTATTGTGCAATGATAAGCCGTGCATTCTGCTACATTTCATGTGCTGACAAAAGAAGTTTTAGCAGCTCTGGCAAAGGACATGGACTCTGAGTTTTGACTCTTCAAAGCAAAGTGTTCACTCAGTCGTAGAGGGACATAATGAATAGCCCCATTAGTGACATAAAAGCAAAGTGGAATTCCTTTGCAGGACTACTGAGGCCAGCTCCGGGCTTCACAAGGCATCCCATCGCCATATGACTAAATCAGATGCTATGGGTGACAAATATGGCCTCACAGCTGAGAGCAGCACAAAGGACACTCAGTTGTCTCGTCGGGCCAGCAGCAGAAAATACTGCCACTCGCAAGACAATGTGGCTCCTGTGTAGAGATGTTGTTTATCTCATCAGGCCATGGCTTGCGAGGTTGTGGTGCGACTCGATGCTGTGAACTTATGGGATGGCTGCAGGAAGAGATGCCTCTGTGGCACGCGAGTACTTCGGCACAGCGGAAATGATAAGAAGGCGGGATGATGTCATGCCATTGCCAAATATGAGATGGAATGTTACTGGAATGAGGAGTCATTCATGAGTGAATACAGATGGGTATCAAAAGACAATAGAGGAACTACGGAGGTTATTATTTAGCTGTAGGGTAAATACTTTTGTTGTTTACTTACTGATGAATGAATGAATGAATGACTCAGATTCCAAGTTAAACAACTCTGAACATAAAATTCATTAACTTTATATATGATTTTATTTCCCAGACCTCCCCTAAAGGAACAAATGCAAATATTCTGTGTATAAAAAACATGTTTATTTTTTCTTATTCCCTTTTTTCAGTCGTTGTGAAATAGCGGGTACTTTCCCCTCTTCGGCCGCTAAAAATACAAACTAAATTTAGCACATTGGTTAAGTTAGACTAACGGGGACACTGTGGCGAAAGGAATGCAAAACACCCAATACTAAATGCCTGCTTGTAATCAGCTATAACTTTATGAAAATAAAAATATATTATGTGTATTTTAGGGAGAACACCACCTGACCTAACTCTGGAAATAGACCAGTATCTATATGGTATCATCAGGATTGTGGCTTTGAAAACAAACAAGTCAATGGTTTGTTTACAGTGCCTACACTTAAATAATAAAGAAAGGTATGTCATTAGGGTGCAACTTTAAGAAGACTTAGAGGTAATGGATGTCAGAGTGATCGACTAAATGATTACATGCCATGTCATTTTTAATGTTAAAGCAAAAATACATATGTAGTGTAGGAATGCAGCAATAATGCAGTGTAAATAATCAGAAATGTGTGATCTGGTGCTGTAAAGTATAACAAACCCACAAATAGCCCTCAAGTGAATTGATTTGAGAAGGAAAAATCACTTTTCAGTTGTAGGTACTGCTTACAGCTTGTGTCAATTCTGATCCCCAGTAATTCGTGTCTAGTTACTCAAATGTTGAGGCAGAGGGTACTTGCTGTAGGCTGTCAGTTAATTGTTTGTTGGGAACAGGGAAACAGAGATCTGTGTGGGTACATGAGACCCTAAAAAAGAGGCTGGATCACAGGGAGTACCACCAGTTGGTCCAGGAGCTTTGCATCCAAGATGGCCATTTCCAGGCATATTTTAGGATGACTCTGGGGCAGTTTGACAACCTGCTGTCTATCGTCGGGCCGTATAGCTCTGGGTATCCAGCAGCCGCTACCACCAGTTTCTCCTCCATTGCTTACCAATTGTAAACTTGTTGTCGTTGGAGAATGGGGCAAAAAGATGACGAAAAACACCTTATACAATCTCGTTTTCAAACTGTATCACTTTATACAATCTCGTTTTCAAACTGTATCACCTTATACAATCTCCTTATACAAGTACCTTGAGCCTCATTTATTTATTTATTTATTGCCTTTATTCACTGATGTAACGTTTTTGTCCCAATATTTTGTACGATATCTTTGTATATTTCTTCAATAATAATAATAATATTTAAAAAATAAAATTAAAAAAAAAAGTGGCTTCTGGGTCACGCAATGTGCAAGAGATGAAAATATTGAAAGTGTATGAAAGGCCCGAATTTTCCATTTTCCATTTAAACAGAAAATCGGAAAACGAGTCGTTATCCTTTTTTTCATATTTGGTTTTATTTTGAAAAACGAATGAACGAATGATACACGGATTGGATGATGTGGGGCGCTTTTCCGCTCTGTGTTGGATTTTTTTTCAACTTGAGAAGTTCAGAGCGCTCCGGCAAAAACACCAGGCTCTTACAGGGCAGATACGCGAAACGTCGCAACACAAAAAATGCAAAAAGCTTCATTCTCATTTAAATCTATTAAAAAACAGGCGCCTCCAGCTGCTAAAACACTGTCTGTGTGATCAGGGCCTTCGGTGGGGAATTGAACTTGAGCTCAGTTGAACCGAACCAAACAGGGCAAGTGTGAAAGCACCCTAAAATAAGAAGTTAGGAACCTCTGTTGTAACACGATGGGTGAAACTGCTGGTTTAAAATGTTCCTTCCATGTATCTTAACTAAACTGGGGTAAAACAAATTCTTTAACTTTGGGGAACTACTCTGAATATTAATTCTGCCACACACACTCTTTTAAGTGCAAATTAGATGAAGGAGAAAAAACCCTTTCCTTACTAATGGCGTGCTGCACTTGTGGAACCAACGCTCCGGGACAGAGTGCAACTCTGATCTTGTACTTTGCAGCGATAAAGCAGAAGTCCCCAGTCTATATTAATTCAGTCAGAGAGGAGAAGTGAGGACAAATGTTCCCTCTAAACTCATACGTGTGCTCCTGATAACACAATAATATCCTGCCGTCCATTAGTCACTGTGTCCCAAGACATGGTGGCTGATGTCAACACATGCACTTCACCACAGTTACAGCCGGGGTGAACTCATCTCCTTAAACAGCAGTGTTGCAAGTGCAGCTTGTGACAAAGTTACACACACACACACACACACACACACACACACACACACACACACAGAGAGAGAGAGAGAGAGAGAGACAGAGAGAGAGAGAAGGGACTGTTTTCCACTGAAGAGGAATAAAACTGTTTCGGCTCACATGCGCTGTCTGTGGCGAAACACGTCCCCGACAGAAACAGGCTGCACACACACACAGAGCGAGCACAGAGTCCGTCAGCCGCTTATATACATGCCTATAAATAACCAGCCAATCAGCGGCGAGACGCTCGGAGTTAAACGCGCCAATTAAAACGGAGCGAGAACCAAATTAAGTCAGAGGCCGCCGCTCATTGGCCCGCTGTGATATCATTTGCAATGCCTTACGCTGCTCGCCGCTGATTGGCTGGCGCCCCGCAGGCGTAATCCTGCCGTGAGGAAGGGGGGGGCGGGCGTCGAGGTTTGAATAGGGAAGTTTGCAGAGCGCAGTTGTTCCCCATCCAGTCCGGTGCAGTGTTTGCAAACACCTTGAACAGCAAGAGAGGAGACGAAGAAGAAGAAGGGGGGGACTCACTGACGGACGGACGGACGGACGGAGGCTCGGCTGCTGCTGCTGAAAACAAGCGCTCCTGCTCCGCGTTGAGGACCCGCTCCTTTCCTCTGGGTGTTTTATTCCTACCTGACGTCTAACTGCAGCTTAACACTCTTTTTATTTTAAAAATAAAAAACCTCTGTGGGGCAAAATGGATGTTCTACCCATGTGCAGCATCTTTCAAGAACTTCAGATAGTTCACGACACGGGCTATTTCTCAGCCTTACCTTCCCTGGAGGAGTACTGGCAGCAGGTGAATATATCTAACAACTATTTTTTATTTTTATTGCACTGTTTGAGCTTGTGTGGCAAAGCGGAACTGAGAGCTTTCGTAGATTAGTTTAAATAAAATGACAGTCCAGTCATGGTGGGTGTGCACACCGGGGTTTAGACGGCGCCCGTGCGTTCACCTCACGATCAGGTTGGTTATGAAGTTTCTGGCAAGGCTGAAGTGGATCAGTGTGTCAGTCTGACAGCTGGAGTCGAGGCTCTGCTGCGCCAAGATGAATGGGGACAGAGTAACTCAAGCAGCAGCAGCAGCAGCTACAGTCTGACTTCTTCTTCTGCTTCTCTCAGTGGGTAATGTGAGGGCACCAGAGCTGCAACACCAGCCTGTGTTTTACACTCAGTCAGGATCATCATTTCTTCTGTGTAGTGGCTCCACATTCTGAACTTTAAATATCTGATCTTTTCACCCGCACGCCACCATATTCACTTCCTTTTTAACATCCATTTGCATCATGCTTGGATTTGAATGGACTCCACAACATGACACTATCAAATGTCAGCCGTGGCCAAGTCCTGCTCGCATGAGTAGGTAGCAGCACAGCTGGAAAACATTGTGTAAGGGCTCCAGGAGCCTGGAGGAATTTTTTTTCCTTGCATCCACCTTGTCAAACCTGCTGTCTCTGAGCACCTCCTAAGGAAAGGGTCCTCGCTTTTCAACTTTAAATGGCCCCCTGAAGTCAGTGAGAGAGGGGGGCCGGTGTGTGTGTTGGGCTGGAGTGGCTGACAACACTGAGGAAGGATGTGATTGCATGTCAGAGGTTCAGCAGCTGAATGGCTCATGGTGGTGGTGGTGGTGGTGGTGGTGGGGGGGGGGGGGGGGGGGGGGGGGGGGGGGGGGGGGGGGGGGGAGTTGAGCGGCTTCCTTAAAAGGAGTCTAGGTTTGTTCAGTGAGTCATTGGAGTGCTGAAATGACAATGCACGTATCAGCGTTGAGCCGCGCTCAGGTGCAGGAGAGCTGGGGTTCAGAGGGGTGACAGCTCAGGCCTGCGAACATCACATGGAGCTGAGGTGGCTGCATTAGATAAGAGAGGCTGAGCTGCATCATGAAATGCAATGCATATTATTGTCTTAATCAATCATTTAAGTCTAAAATGATGCACCGAATTTGCTTGTTTTATCCGACCAGCACACTAAAACCCCCAAATATTTAATTTACCTCCATATATGATGCAAACAAGCAGCCGATCTTTGTATTTAACGAGCTGGAGTCAGAAATTTTTGCTTGGAAAATGACCAAAATCGTTAATTTTCTCTCAGTCGACTGATCTTCCCTGCTCTAATGTCTGATATGTACAATAAAGATAAGTGCAGCAATAGCTACAATTTCCTGGTTAATGCTTCTTGCTGTAAGCACTTAACAAATATTACGCCACACAAAACATTTTGGGGGTATGTGCACATGCATCATTTAAAAGGATTTCCCACACAGAAGCATTTTGCTGCTGTGAAAGAACCTCCTCTCTTCAGGGCTGCTGCTGCTGCTGCTGTAATTCATTTATCCTCACTGTGTCTTCTCGTTTCGCCGCAGACATGCCTGGAGTTGGAGCGCTATCTACAGAGCGAGCCTTACGTCTCCACAGCCGACATCAAGTTCGACGGGCCGGAGGACCTCTGGAGCAAGTTGATCTTGGCCTGCGGGGACAAGGCCAAGGCCGAGTCCGACCCAAAGCTGCCCCCGGCCCACGAGGAGGACAATCAGGACAGCCAAATCTTAGACACCAACAGTGTGAATTCCGACGCCAGCAGCGAAGCTTCAGACAGTTCTGAGGAGCTCTCGCCCACACACAGCTTTACCTCCAACCCTCTGGGCTCTGTCTTGGTTGGCTCTGGACCTTTTAGCCCCTCTGTCATAAGCACTCCCCCGTCCTCTCCGGAGGCCAACGTGACTAACGGCTGGGTGGCCGCACACGCCGGGTTGCACTTGCCGGTCAAAATCAGGAGCGGCGGGGTGGCAAAGAGTACGGAAAAGACGGGACTCATCTGCGGGGATGCGTCTCCGGACGGCAGGAGGCGAGTACACAGGTGTCACTTCAACGGGTGTCGCAAGGTTTACACGAAGAGCTCCCACCTAAAAGCACACCAGCGCACTCATACAGGTGAGTCTCAAGCACCTATCAGAGCCCACGCTCCCACACAACACGACCACATGTGATGTAAACAGAGACTCCAGGGACATGAGGGTTTAAATCTGCTGGTCTCAACTCAAAGCTTTTCATTCACAGTTAAAAAATCTAACTTTTTACTGAGTGACTGGCGGAAGTGCTTTTAATTCAGTCTTCCACCTTAATGGCGTCGTCCATCCATTGTGTAATGTAATTAAAGGTCCACATTGCATGATGTCCTCAGCTGCAGCGCTGCGAGTATTAGCTCTGCATGGCTGGATACCTAAACTGTGACCTAATCTATCTGGAATGTGACTGACTGAGCCAGCGAGCGAGGGAGCGACACAGAGAGACAGCGAGCGAGGGGGGGAGGGGCTGCACATGGGAGATAAAAGGACTTGAAAACAGATTGAGTTTCACCATGGGAAAGGGGTGAATGGGCGGGGAGCCAGGGGGCACTGAGCTGGAGGGGCTCTGAATGGTCATTTGAGCGCTTCTTATTTTTGATTAGCGGCGTGAAATTGCACGTGTGGCTTTTTTTTTTTTTTTTAATTTCATTTCCTATACTCCACATATTCATCTGCACAGCACCGCTCGTAGCATGTTCCAGGTCAGCCAGTGACCCAACAGGTTCGGTGGAATCTGGGTCCGCAGTGACTTGTCAGCACTTCTGTCATGCTCCCCCGGCCTCAGGCTGATTGATCTGAATGCATTTGAATAACAACAGCGCAGAGCCGGCCAATCACCAGCCTGAGCTGGAAAACACTGTCATGAGCTCATTGTGTTAACCTTCTACTTGTTTGTCCTGCAGGTGAGAAACCTTACAGGTGTTCATGGGAGGGCTGCGAGTGGCGTTTTGCACGGAGCGACGAGTTGACCAGACACTTCAGGAAGCACACTGGGGCAAAGCCATTTAAATGCAGTCACTGTGACAGGTAAGACACGTAAGACACGTCATGTATCTGCAAGTAACATCACCGGGCTTTCAGTAAGCCTCGGGGCCTTTACACAGAGCTGAAGCACGTGCATTTTTTCGTTGATGTGATCTGATTTTCTTGCGTCACCTAGATAACGGTGCACGTCTTCAAAGATTGAACGCACTGATGCATTTACAAATATATCATTTTACTGTAACACAGCCTTTAAAACGAGGAAAATACAACACTTACAATATGATGATATCCAAAATCTAGCCCGATATCTAGTCTTATATCCCGATATCGATATAATATCAAAATATCGCCCAGCTGTGGTGCAAATGAGTAACAAAAAATTGCGATAAAGAAATGTCAAGCAAGATTTGAGGTCATTTCAAAACAGTGCCCACCAAAGGTCACTTAGAAGTTCCCCTAAATATCAATATGAGTATTGGCCTCAAACATCCAGCATCAGTCGACTCCACTAAAGATGAATCAGGAGGTCATTTGGAGTTTCGCAGCCTCCTCTCAGCAGGAATCACTCTCAGATTCTTCTCATCTTCTGAAGCATTAATATTTAGGATCACAGTAGCTCAAAGCTCCCCGCAACACTTGTTTCATTCATTCATTCATTCATTCCTTAAAACATGTCTCATTTCCCTGCAGTCCATCTGCCATTGTTACTGACTTCCTCCTCCCCTTCCTCTCTGTCCCCAGATGTTTCTCCAGGTCTGACCATCTGGCTCTTCACATGAAGAGGCACATCTAGAGCAGGGCGAAGCTCCAACCAAGCGACGCAGCGCAAGGGGAGAGTTTGAGAGGAGAAAAATGAAAAAAACAAATGCCGTCTCCCGACCAGTCTCTCGGTTGAACTGTCCCAGAGCGGAGTCGTGGGAGTGTGTTCCAGCCAAAGCATGCCGTTTTGCACCATACTGAAACCCAGTGCCTCCGGGACCTCTCTTTGGAGAAGGGCGCTCTGAAGGTTGTCTGTTGCAACAAGAGGACAAAATCATGGATGGGGAAGATGTTTTTTTTTGTTTGTTTGTTTTCTTTTTTGATTGAGAAGGACTTACAACACACACAAAAAAAAGAAGAAAAAAAAAACAATAAAAGACACAAACAAAAAGAGTGAATGATTTGTATGTATGGTGCATGATGTTTTGGGGGACATCTCCCGGACAGCAGATACACTGGTACTTTACAAAACTGTCTGAGGTAAGCATGTGTGCACTGTGAATGTCTGAGATTGGCGAACCGGCCCCCTGAGAGGACAGAAGAAGAGTTTTTGGGGAGGAGATGGATTGATGGATGGTGCGGGGCTGGTACCAATGTTGCTGTGGACTGAATGGGTTTCTGGGGGGAAGCATTCCATTAGTGTTTCCCCGGTGGCAGCGTGAGGACGGGGCCAGGATGGAAGTTCCTGCCTGTCTGTCTGGCACCCAGACTGGAGGGGGGTTCTCCGAAGCTTTTGAGGCCTTGGGTTTGACCAGAGAGAGAAGGTGGACGTGTGTCTGGTCAGTGACCCAGGGACCAAAACTCCCCCCCCCCCCCCTCTCGGTCACTGTATGACAGGAGCTTTTTTTGGTGTTTTTGGTGCAGCTACTAAATGTGCAATGTGTTATGTAGCCTGGTTTATTATTTTTTTACAAGCTACAAAGCTCATTTGTAGTCCAATTGTATAAGCTGTGTGCTTAGAGGTATAACACAACTATACTATAACTTCAGTATCATAGACAGGTGTTGCATGGTTCTAGGGTTTGTTCATTTCATGTTTCCACTGTAATCAGGACTGCAAATAGTTTCAATAAAAGTGCAGCTAAAGTGCGAACGGTTAAATGTTACAATATTGTACATAAAGCCTCGATGATTTCCTCCTTTTTATTTTTCATCCGTTTCATCCATCTGGCTGGAGACTTCACCGCTTACTCATTCTCTCATTCATCCTATGCCTTGAGGAGTACTTTTGATTTTTGTACTTTCTTTTCTATCTAATAATGCACTGTTGACCTTAATGGTGCCTTATGCAAGTGACTCGGCCCCCTGGTGCTTTTCGCTCCCAGGGGAGGTCACGTTTGTTGTATGGGTGATTCGACAAGCTCGATCAAGGCTCAGTTACACATTAACTCGCACCTCTTTGTGTTCAGCGACAGTCGTCCGCATCTGTTGATTGTGCTGCTGAAATGTAAACGTTCTGAGAAGCACCTTTTGTCAGTTTGCTCGCCATTTTTCGTCTTTGGACATGTAAATAAGACATGCGTGTTTGTTTGGAGCACTTAAATTTGTTTATTAAAGACATTAACTACTGTGTAGTATGTACTCAAGTCCATCACACACAGCTCTAAGGTACAAGACAACCAGACTGGGTAAACAAAAACGGGGTTTTATGTGTCGTTCATTCAGTGCTGCTCCTTTTCTCGCTGTATCCCTCCCCACCGACGCCATCGCCCCCCCTCCTGTCCCTCCATCCCTGCAAGTGGGACTGAAGAAAAAGCTAAAGATTTATTGTAATTAACAGGCTGCAGTCGGACAGGCCTCGCCTTGTACTGCCTCTCAGTAATGAATTGCTAAAGGCTTTGTTGGCATGGAATCTGTCACAGACTGCTGACTGTGTAGGTTGGTTATTGACCTGTCTGGGGAGCGTTGTTTTAGCCAAGCTGCAACAGTATTATGAAAACCACAGGAGCGAGCGAGGGGGCGGGGGGGCTCCTGGAAGGAGATAAAGATCAAGCGTTGACACATGGAAGTTGGACCAAAAAAAAAAAAAAAAAGACAGCATCTCCCTTTAAAGGTGGATCTGTTAGATTTATATTGGAGGTGGGAAGGGGACTGGACAAAAGGTGGAGGCCGCAGTAACCATAGTGATCACACTTATACTGCTGCAGGATAAAGTGATCTGTGCCACCCACTCCAGATCAGCCACCTCGCTGTTGGAATTCAATGTTGCAGCGTGGCATGCTACGACTTATGGATTTCAGATCAGCAGGCGAAAGAGACGGGATGAGTACAAACTTGAAACTGCTTGCTGCGATAGATTTTGGAGTGCTGGCAGTGCCTTTTGTGGGCAAAGGAGGGGAACATCCATTCTGTGAAAACCGGCAGCCAATACTGTTCAAGTGGTAATTGAGCCTTGATTAAGCCCCATGTTTGCTCGCATCTTTTATCATCATCGCTTTCATCCCACTACCCCAACGTCTTCTGTCACACACACACACACACACACACACACACACACACACAGCTCTTTGTTCTCAACTGAATCTTTGTATAAAAAGAAAAAAAAAACAACTTTTGTAAAATTGTTATGTTTATGCTTTATGAAATTTTTATTTGAAATTGTTTTGCAAAATTGTTATATTTCTGTATGAATGTATTTTTTATTGGAATAATAAGAAGTTCTTATCTGACTTTGGCTTGCTTCCTTTGTCTCATTTGTTGATTCTCCTCAGTTATGCTTCATTATTGTGACTTTTTTCTTTCTTCTTCTGTTTTTCGTTGCCCGTGGGAGGTGTGCAGCTTGTTGAGGATGAATGGCTACATTTCAGCTGCACTGTGCCCTCCAGGAATATGGACACAATTAGATTAGGGCAGGGTGTGAGCACCAGGGGTGCATATCTGACATTTCAAATTTATCACTCAAGCAAGAAGAATTAGGAACAGGAACACTTTGTGCAGTATAAATTCTTTGTTGAGCAGCTCTAAGTGGCCTCACCTCTTCCTGACTTGTAAATACCAGCATGAAAATATCTCTCTCAAATGAGCAAATTATATCTTTGCAGAGACTGGTTGCTAAACACAGAAACCTGACGCACCTCGCTCCCAGTGGCAAACACTCTGATTTTTTTTCCCTCCCTATACACCCCCTAGAAAAGTTTGTGTAAAATCTCACTGCAGAGGTTTCAGTTCTAAAAGCGACTGACTGCTTGCTCCTTAGAGCTAGCTAGCTCTCATCAAAGCAGTATAAATAATTTATCTCCATCTCTTACAGCCCATGGCATTTAATTAGAGAGCAGCTTTTATACATTTGTTAGATAATTACTCTACTTGACACAGATAATGATACAAAACAGCAGTGGATAAACCAAAGAGCCAAGTTTAAGTCACAAACTAACAAGAAAATAAGATTAAAAAAAAGAAGAAGGAAAAAAAAGCCGTCTTTTTCTCTGCTCTCCTGCTCATGGTGATGACCTAGAATGGGCAGGCAACTTATTAGCTCCTCTGATTTCCAGTAAAAGCCCTGTGGTTTATAAATGAAGCTTTGCCTGCAGTTGGTAATTAAGCTCGCTTTGGAGATCCTCCCAGCTTTGGAGTGGCAAAGAGTGTTGTTTTTGCCTCAAATGCTGCAGCTCCTTGATCTCTCCAAACTGCTGCCCCACTTGATTTCTCGTCTTCAAATCTACCTATGATGCATAATGCATGGCTGAGGAGCAACACAGCCGGCGAAGACGAGTTCTGAGTCCAAACTTCGACCTGCGCGTGGAAAAATATCCTTGAGGCTCAGATTCTTGTTTTTAACCTCTTGAAGGAGTCGGGCACGCGTTGCGTTTCATTTCCATGCAGCTGACTCACATCCTCATGATATAAGTGGAACATCCTCTTGTGAAGTGGACCATCATGGATAAAGTTTCTCGTAAATGTGGCACTAAGATCGCATATTTGCTTTGATGTGTCCAGACTGTAAAGCCTCTATATGCTTTCCCACATTGATATTGTAACACAGTCTAAGCCCCGAAGGATTATGGGAAACAATTCATCACTTTAAGATGTCACATCTGATCTAAAGTCTCAGGGAAGTACATAAGATCTAAGGTTGTGTCCCATAGCAAAGGTCCATTTCAGTGCTAAGGGGTGGTGAAAAGGAACTAAATGTGTTTACTTACGTTCTCCTTGAGATGTACTTACCTTGCGTATTTTAATTCTCTGCTACTTACGACAGTTCAGACGGAGATGTTTACTCTATTATATTTATTTAACAGTTTTAACTAGTTATTTTTCAGATCAAGGTTTTACAGTAAAGACAAAAAAAACACATGATAAGCTCATAAAATATTCTTAATTGTGCCAAAAGAATGATGGTCAAAAGAAGTAAAAAATATTCGTCAAGGTTAGAAAATGTAAAAATTAATACAGATTTGTGCTGCAGAATTTCTTCTTTCTTCTCCCAATAATCATTTTAAGAATCCCCAGATTTTTCAGGTGATCTTTTGGAGGTGATTTTGGGTGATCACAAACTAAACTATTAAGCCTTAGAAACAGTTAAAGCTACCTACAGCTGAATGTATTACACAGGCATTTTTAAGTACTTTTGATTCTGTTTAGTAGTTTTTATTGGTAGTGGCGATGTCCGCCACTCCCACACTTGGATTGTGAATGTCTATCTAATCACAACACCAATGCTATTTATGCACTAATGCCATGCATAATAACATAAATCACAGCCATTTTTTAAGTACTTTTGATTTTGATACACTAATAAATGTTCCTAGTCTTCTGTTCTTTTACTTAAAGATATAATCATTAATGTTTGTTATTAAATCAAACCCCATTTCTGTGGTCTGCATTTTATCTACTATAGCCATTCATGTATTTACTCTCAGTACCTCTCTGTATAGTAGTTTTTCCTGGTAGTGGCGGGGTCCGCCATTTCCACAGTTGGATTCTGACTGCCTACCTAAGCACAAGTGATTCATACAAAATGATGCATGCAGTCAGCCCAATCTAATTTGATCTCAAACTCACTTTGGAGGAGCCCTACTCTTAGGTCGGTAACTACTGGCCTTAACTACCTATTTATATACCAAGTAGTCCAAACTAGCTCCACTAGCTCCTCAGTGCTACTTACACACTGAGTCACCAGCACAATACAACAACAATAATGTCATGTGTAATTGTGATACTGCTAGTTTTACTTAAGTGAATGATGCATGGACTTTCTGCTGACAGCAAGGCTGTATTAACTGCCAGGCTCCTGCCCCTGTCTGGGTCCCAGACTCCAAAGGGCTGCAAAGGAGGTGCCCTTCCCTTAGGCTGGGCATCACTAGACAAAAGTACTGAACTGTAGAAGCAGTTAAAGCTACAGTACTTTTGATTTTGATATATCAGGTAAATGTTCCTATTGTTCTGTTCTTTTGCTTAAAGTTATAATCATTAAGATTTTTTATTAAATCAAACCCCATTTTTATGGTCAGAATTTTATCTACTATAGCAATTTGGTGTATCTACACTCAGTAGTAACCTCTCTGTATAGTACTTTGTATTGGTAGTGGCGGGGTCCGCCATTCCCACACTTGGATTCTGACTGCCTGTCTAAGCACAAGTGCCTACTCCTAGGCTGGTAACTACTGGGCTAAACTACTTATTCATATACTAAATAGTTCAAGCAGCTCCAACAGTAAAATGCAGTTTAAAGACTGAGGCATCAGTACTATCAATATAATAATGTCACGTGTAATTTATCAGTCGCAAGGGCTATTTTTCTGCAGGTGTACTTTTGGATATGTTACTGACAATACTTATGTACTTTTATGAATGCTTGAGATTTAAACACTCGTATTTTCAGATTGTGGTATTGCGACTTTTACTTTAGTAAAAGATGCATGTACTTCCTGCTGACAGCAAGGCTGAATTAACAGCCAGGCGACTGCCCCTGTCTGGGTCCCAGACTCCAAAGAGCTGCAAACGCTTCTGCTAATTTGATTAAATGCAAATTTGTCGGGAAAATGCACCATCGAATATCAGCTGAAATGATAGAGGCAGCAAGAGATCCTATACTAACCTCAATGGGGACATTATTCTTTACTCGAACTGAGAAGTATTTACAGTATGCACGGTGTATTTTAAAGGCCTGTGTATTTCCATGTGATATACTGAGCTGGTGACACTGAAGAAGGATGAGTATGTTACTCACAGTCATTTCAAAGCCGTCCCGTGTCCACGTCAGTCGTATCAGAGAATCTCAATGAACGTGACTATCTCTCACTACATAATTGCAAAGGGATTACTATTTTATCATTCTCTTTCATGCGGAAGGCCTTCCAATTGTGGATAGTAAAATAAATCATTATCCAAAATTGCTGTGAAATAACAGGCGTGCTGCAGGAGTGAGAGATGTCCTCGCCTGAGTCTCTCACACACACACACACACACACACACACAGGAAAATGGACTGTGATGGAGGCACACAGTGAGTTAAATGAGGGGAAATAATAAGGAAAGAGGAGGTTATCAGGCTCTGAGCCTGCTTCATTCAGCCAGCCAGACTGCAAGTCATCACATATGCAGACTTTACTCTGAAAGCTCCAGCGTCAGGGCTTTCTCTCCCTCCCTCCCTCTTCCTCTCTTTCTGTTAATGGAGTCTATTAGGACTTGGCTTGTAGGGGAAATAGGACTGAAATCAGAGGTCAATGACCCTCCTTTATGTTCCTGGCTTGCGAACACCACAACTGCAGTCGCCGCTACAGTGCCATAATCACCATCATCGCCACTCCCATCATCATCACCATCATCATCGTCGATGCTATCTGCCTCTCCTGCATTGTCGGCCTCATTTCAATTGTCACTGTCACTGTTATAAAAACACGAGTATCATCAGTACTATTGTTATCCTGCTCTCCTAATATTACTCCTCCTCCTCCTCCTCCTGCTCCTCGGATTCCCCCTTGAATAATGCATATTTCCTTAAACGAAGCCCCATAGTAAATTAGATTCTACACCTAATTACCATGTTGCAATTAGGAGGAGAAATGAGAGAGGATCTAAGAACATTGCCCACAACAAAGTGTGCCAGATTAGATGTGTTTTTTTTTCCTGTTCTGTTTTGTTTTGTATTTAAGCCCCAGAAATATGTATGAAGAGCTTCGGCTTGTTTTGTCTTTCAGCACAGATTAATTTCTGACTGAAACTGTAAGAGCGTCAGTTCTTTTGAAAACTGAGATGCAATCCTCAGAGAGCCTGACTCGCCCCAAAAGAAGCAACAGCTCCGCCAGAGATTTGTGGGTAAGTCATTGTAGCAGCCAGCGGGGGTGGGGGGGTGCGGGGGAGTTGCAAGAAAACCTCCGCCAGCTGATGTCACTCTGTGTGACCTTGTCGCAGAACTCGCGGTGAACCAGCGAACACGTCTGAGTACTATGCAAAGTAGAAAATGTGACTTTAAGCGTACAAATTCTCAGAGGACGGATTAGTTTGAGTCATAAAAATATTTTTCCACAGCAGGTCGACTCTGGACACTCTCATTGGTTGGGTTGAACCTTACTGAACCTAGTTTTGCCTCTATATGTTGGTTTAAAATGAGTCAAACAAACTTTATGGCTGCCTATATTTATCAGAACTACGTCATTGCCAGTTGGCTAACTTTTCGTTAGAAAAATGGGTTGCATTGCCAGATTAACCAGGTGGGGCCCTGCAGCAA